CTTCAGTTTGGTCCAGACTCTGTTTGCGACCTGAAAACGTCATGTGATTGACCAGCCTCACAATAGCACTAACAAAATCTGGATCATGTATTATGTCAAGATATTTCTGAGATAAATCACGAGGACATGCTTTCAATTTGCTTTCCTCGGTGACAAATTCTTGGACTAAAGATGACAGCATCTTCAGCTGATAGCCATCTGGTAGCATGTTGATGTGAGTTTGTGGATCCCTGTTCAAATACGGAAATTGCTCAAATCCCAGAAAATACTGCAAACCAAGAGACTGAACTCTGTCTGAGAAAGAATCATTATCAATGAAGACCAGCTTGCGGGAGTCTGTTAGTCTCCAGTTTGCATCTGGTAGATACAATGTTGGTACATCTAATGTGGCTGAACTGTCCTTGTTTTGCGTTTCGATAAATTGAAACAGTAGGTAAATGGCCTTCTCTGCTGTACACAGATCTTTTTCTTTCACTGATTGTGTCTTTTTGTACAGTTTCTCCAGCACACATGCATACAGGTTAGCATGTGCCTTCTCTGAGGCACCAAGACCCAGGAGAACTTGACCAAATCCTGTTAATGTACGTGGCATTGCATATACATATCCTTTTACAATCTCATAAGACCGGATGGTTGTGACAATTTCTAAAGCGGGCACCATACATTCCTCTTCTGGAATATAGACTGTGCAAACATCTTGAAGCTCATGCTTCATCCAGTCACTGACTCCTGTCTCTTTCAAGTGTTTGTAAACAGATTCCATGACACTTTCCATGATAAGGCATAGTTTGGAAACAGAATTCTGGTCCTGAAGTTTTTCAAAAGACCTGCATATGTTTCGTAAATGACTTGTTACATCTTCATCTTCTGGTGTTGCTCTAATGCCAAGTTTATAGGAGAGATCTGAGGATAGGCTTGCACTCTTGTGGAACATCGAACAGCTTGTCCAAATACAGTGGCAGTTGTCAGGATGGAGTGATTTGCAGTAGGCAACTAGCTGTTTGCCCTCATGCAGCTGAGGGTGTATATCTGTCAGCTCTTTTCCAACAGTATGAGGTAACACAAACCGTATTTCTCCAATTTGTGACAGATGTCCTTGAAATCTCCAATGGTGCTTAGCTAAGTATGAGGACAACACTTTAGTCTTGTTGCTAACGTCTTTAGTAATACCTTTGCTACCAAGGGCTTCAACTTTTCTAGCAAAGGTTAGATAAAGTTCAATACTAACATCTTTCGTCAAACCAGCAATTTCCAAAAAGGTTTTCCATTTTTCTTCATCATATGGTGATGGTGGAAACTCAGATCTGTTACACATCTGTTTAAAGACCTCTTCATAAGGACTATAAAAATCACTTGCACACTGCCATAAGCCCTCCTCTGCTTCAATGAATCTCAATTTTTTCAACTCATCTTCCAGTGGTTTCTGTACACCGCCTATTTCTTCCATATTAGGTAATATGACATCACGTATGAATTCCAAATGTGAAAGTTGGGCTGAGCTTGGCATACATTCAAAGTTTGGAAGGATGATTTGAACATACAGATCCTCTCGTGTCAGTGTCTTTATACACAGTTTCTCAAAAATACCTCTGCATTGAACACACGTCTTGATTAAAACTTTACAAGAGGCCCTGATCAATTCACTGAAACCATCAGATGGTACACCATAATAGTGTTCTACTGCTAACACCTCATTGTCATCTTGTAAAGCAACTTGCTGTCCACACATAGACTGATAGAATGGAAGTTTCCGAAGTAACTGTTGTGAAGGCCGTTCACAAATTAGGTCACTGAGCTTTACAGTGTTTACACTGAAGTATTCCAAAACAGCCAAGCTGCCTTCCGCTGTAATATCAAGAGAGTTACTGAAATCAATGTCTGATAACAATTTCAGTATTTCATCAGGATTCTCCATTTTGGCAGCTACAGATGATGTTACTTTAATGATATCTTCACAAAAATTAGAAAAATGCTGAAACAAGACCTTCTCCAGTACTGGAACTTTCATGTTTTTCAAAGCAGTTGCACATTTATCATGTGAACCAGGATGAACAATCACACACTTGCTATTTCTTATTGGATATAGAAAAGGAATGCCCTTCCTTTTCTCTTCAATTCTAACAGGTAACAGTGACCAGTCTTCTAGTTCAGCCAAAAACGTCTGTGTGCCAGATGTCTCTTTTTCGTTGATACTGCACATTTGCTGTGACAAATAATCCCAAAACTGAAAGATCCATTTCTTGGTCGGAAGATTTTCTGAGTCCTCCCATAGGACTGGTTTGCCAGTGTGCAGAACGTCTCTAGAAAATGTCTTTTCAGTCAACAATGCCAATGAAGTGACATCAAGATCTTTTATACAGTCTGATTCTTTGAGGTATTTTGTATACATCAAACTAATTTCTCTATCCAGCACCTCATCAGGTATTCTAACAAATAGATCAGTGTACCTTGTGACAAATAATGATTTTTCAGCATCAAAACAATGCAGTTGCTGTGATTCAGTCAATGCAAGTGGCAAAGATTGCAATTCAGAACCAAATGTTGCATGCATTTCACAGAATTTTGTCAATAATTTAAGTGATTTGATGCTCTTTAGGTATGTGGCTTCTATGTCCTGTGGTAGAGATTCAAGATTACAGCTATCTTTTGAGTCAACTGGGTGGGATTTCAGGAACTGCATAACACTTTCTGGGGTGACAAGGCTCAATTCACTTTCAGTGCAAATGGCTTTGATATTTTCATAAATCCAGCAAGGAACATCTATGATATTCATGTTCAAGTCCTTAAGAATCTCAGTAAGCTGCCATGCTCTCTTGCTTTTCTGCTTCTGTTCATGCATCTGTGGAAATAACACAGTCAAATCTTTTTCTCTGTCAGTGACTGATTGTAAGACTTGATCAGTTTGAGAGAAAAAGCTTCCCAGTACATTAAAATACCCTTTACCATTTGCAGCTGGCACCCACAAAACCTTACAGGTCATGTCTTCCTTGTTTAGATTTATCTTGTTGCTTTCATTTTTGTTCTTGCTGAAATCTGAAAACATTCCATTTGTAGGTTTGACAATTCCAAAGAGTTTTCTTTTGTTAAAAAGGACATCTTTGTAGAAAGAAGTAACAACATCATTCCAAACTCCAGTGGTTTCCGAAGTCCTGTGTGGAAAGAAGCTATAATAATGATCAAGACTTTGATATTGACATCTTAGTGACTTTTCCCCGAACATTCCAGTTCTCTTCTTCAGTGACTGCATAGCCATGATATAGGCTGGAATTATGATTGCATCAACTACATGGCGATTCCAGATGGACCGGTAGTCTTCATCACCGTGCCAAAGGTTTCTTCTTGCTTCGTGATCCAAGGCAAAGTGACCATTGATATGTACAGGCAACCCTGTATTGATAGGCAGGGGCAGGGTACAAAACGCTTTTCCCTTGATAGGTTTCACACCTTTCCTCCAGTAGCTATTTGGTACTGCAATACCACCTTGTGGTAAAGACAAATGTTCCCTTTCTCCCAGGCTTCATTTACAATTTCTGGAATAGGTTTTTCTTTAGAAAATCCAGAATGGTGAAACACAACCCAATCTTGAAGATTCCCTTTTGAATCGTCAACACTGAGAGACAATTCAGCTTCCAAAGAAGAAACAGCATCGAGGCCAATTCCGGCAGAAGGGTCTCTTATCTTTGCTGTCTGTTTCCTCAAGTGTGAAAGGAATCCCTTATGTTCAGACATATCTGCTTCACTCATTGTTGCTGTAACACTGTATTCTTCTTGGAGAGTACCATTTGTGTTGACACTGGCAATAGATATTTTCTTAACACTATGAAGGAATAGGAGAGTCAAACATGTCATCCTTGAATTTTGTAAGAGCTTGTTGACATCATTTGTAGTGACTTCTTTTTTGACGATCTCTGACTTTTTTGCCATTTCACGTGTCCTCAAAGGGAATCTGAAAAGTGTTCCTTTTGTGTCAGTTTTGACTATATCTTCCAGATATCCACAGAAGCTATCTGCATAAGCGTCTCTTAGCCTGTCCAGCTGTGATATTTTCACTCCAGTTTCCCCGGCTTCTACATACTGCATATGAGGGTCGAGGGCACATATGGATTTTTCCATCCCAGGGCCAACAGTGATGAAAGACGGAACATCAGTCAGATGATAAACAGCATTGAACCCAACACCATACTGCCCAGTCTTTACAGGATCATCACTCTTACTCCCAACACCTAAGTTCTGAATACCTTCAAGGTCATCTTCTGTAAAATAACTATCATTGTAGACACACAGTGCTGGACCTTGCAGTGAAGCCCATTCATCAGAGAAGATTTTTTCTTTTGACAGTTGTCTGAAATCCCTTATAAACATCAGTTCTGTTGCTCCTGCGTCATCAGCATTCTGCAGCAGCTCTTTCATGATTGAAGAGTCATGTGGGTATACACTCAGAATTCGTTTCAGTCTAGTCGTTAGTTTTTCACTTTGTCCAAATGGGGATGAAAAGTGAGAGATGTGTCCTTTCAGATGAACAGCACGCTTTCCCTTCACACCTAACAGCTTGGCTGCCTCATGGTGTACACATGCATGCACAAACTTCATGGATTCATATTTTTCAGCAAATTCATAATCATCAAAGCAAAGTGAAGTTGCCTTCGATAGAATTCGTTCACAATTTGGCAGTGAAACATCAAACCTTTCTTGATCAAAGCATGATTTGTCATACTCTGAAAGATACTGAGTAGCCCTTCCGAACCATGTTAACTGATCTTCTGAAAGTTCTTTTGAACCTGTATCTCTGGAGATTGCCTGCATAACATATAGCAGGTCAGACACTTCAAATTTGTCTTGAACCCCAATGCTCTGCAAAAGCACCTTATAGTCAACTATTGTTACATCAACTTGATACAGATAAGGCGATAAATCAGTTGGCAGATGAAAAGCAACATGCTTTGGTTCAACCATTTGATTTCCTACCAGCACGGTTTCTTCATCTTGTAAACATTGCTGTATCATTCCGATTTGGGCATCCCCTCTCCACACTTAATGTTCAGAAATGTATATATGTGTTTGCACAATTTCTTAAGCTCATAGGAAGAAGAATTATCAGCCAGTGCTTTTATAGATTTGGAAACAAGGAGCAGTTGTTCTGAGGCTACAGCCAGGTCAACATCTTCCTTTCCTTTCACACCAAGCCAAGACAAAACATCCATGTCCACTCTGACATAAGAGTCAAAATGGTCATCCAAAATTAACTGTGACGAAGCCACTAAGCTTGAAACACTCTTCAAATAAAGTTCACTTGGACAAGCAAATGCTTTTCCTTCTGTGTCATCTGCTTTCCACTTTAAAGGCCAGATTGAGGGACGTTTTTGAACAGGTAGAAAGGAGATGTTTTGTAATTCAGATTGTATTGCTTCAGGACAAGTGGCATAACATTTCTTCCAATGGTGAATCCCACTGCCAAGATACTTTAAGATCTGTCCACTTCTCTCGTGAGCCGTTTTAGCATCCTGTTTTTCTAGCTTCCCAACTGACATGGCTCGCTCAACAAGGAGTTCCCATGGGAGTTCATCTTGGACCATTCCATACTTACATAGAATGCCTACCACCTTCTGGTCACAAAAGTTGATTCCCCAAGACCTAAATCCTCTTGGGAAGCATTCATCTTCTTCAGAAAACATCCTTGCACATTGCTTATGTGGATGAATTAGTTCACATGGCATTTTCAGAGTACCTGAAGGCTCTGTTGGAATACATCTGGATGTTCTTATGAGGTCTTCAACACTTTCATTCTGATATGTCAGAGCAAACAATACCAAACTATCTCTCTCTGTTGGTGACCAGTAACTGTCATTTATGTTTGGGAAGAAGATTGTCTTGAAAAACTCTGATGTTGTGATAAGCCTGGAAGTAACACACGACATCAGTCCAGACAGACAAAACTGCTGGATGAGTTGTAGAGGAAGGTCTACAACTTTTCTATTTGTGGACTTTAGAAAGTGAGATGTTGCTTTGAAGGCCATCATTCCAATATCATCATTCCAACGAAGTTTTGGTTCAAGAATATACATTCCTTGAAATGACAGCCGTTCAAGTGCACCATTGTCATCATGCGGAAACATACAATGTGTCTCAGCTGTTATAAGCTCATAGAAACTTTGTACCATACAGTCAGGATTACCATGTGGCGCGGTAGGCCACAAGCCATAATACTGACCAACGCTTGAAGGGTCTGTGATCTCCAGTTGTTCCAGCCCAGCTATGTAAGCTCTACATGTAGCATCTTTAAACAGAGCTGTATTCCACTCAGCCTCATAGTTCATCTTGTCATCTTCAGTTTGTGTACACAATTGTTTTCTGTCTGTTGTCAAAGCAAATGGTGCATTGATGTGTACTGGAAACGGAATGTGCACCGGCAGAGGTAAAAAGCAAAAGAAATGTCCTTCTCTATAGAATCCTGTTGGACATTTGGCCATTTCACAGATACCTTGTCTTCCATCTTCTAAAGTCAGTGGAATTGCAACAGCCGCTAATGGAAGCAGTCCTTTGAGCTTTCCAGACTGTGCAAACTGCTGCGATTCTTTTTGACCAGTTACCCAGGTAATGACCCACGATTGGGTGGTCACACTAGGATTTAACTTTTGTGTTGTTGTCATGTCTGTGTCACAAATTTCAAGCTGGACATCACTTTTTTCAGTTATTTTGAGGCACTCTCCTGAGTGGGTGTTCCACTCCTGAGCTGCATATGACAACACAGTAAATTCATTAAGAAGAGAATTTGGAGGTGACAGGATTCGTTGGTCTGTTATTGCTTTTGTCACATGAATGAGAAGTTCTGGCATATTTGGGTCTCCATTGCGTGGTAAATAGAAGAACTTTACCGATGACACATACTGCGTGAAAAGGGTAAGATTTCCACATCCTTCTGCAAATTTTCTGAAAAATGTCTCCATCTCATGCCTTGAGTAGGACAAATCTTTAATTTCACTTGTAGCAGCCTGTTCTGGTGTCCTCAAAGGGAATCTGAAAAGTGTGCCATGACATGTAGTGTCACGTTTTCCATCTTTGATGACTTGACAGCCAAATATTCCCTCGAACGGCTTTAATTGTCCATTCATATTTCTCATCATCCTCTGATTTTTCACACTTTTGAGGTTTGCTTTCAGCCCAGATTTCCCTAAGTATGATTTGTGAGGGTCAAATATCACCAAAGTATTTTCACTGATGAAGCTTGGAACATCAGTTAGGTTGTAAACAGAATTGAATCCCAAACCAAACTTTCCCACTTTTGTTGTGTCTTCTTCTTTAGTGGCTCCGCTCAGTTTCTTCAAATTGTTAAAGTCACTCTGTGTAAAACTTGCATTATTGTAGGCCCAAAGGGCTGGACCTTGCAAACCAGCCATGTTCTCATTCATGAGGAATGTTCTTGCATTCAGATTCTGTCTCTCATCATACATGAAACAAACTTCTGTAGCGCGGGCATCATCTGCATTTTGTATCAGCTCTTTCGGGACAGAAAAAACCATCTGTGTACTCATGGAGAATGTTTTTCAGTCGTCTTGTCAACGGCTCTGACTGATGATACTCCACATCAAAGTCTTCAGTGTCATCCATTACACGTTCAGTCAGGGAATAGACTCCCATCAATTGTGCAGTCCGCTCTGATATGCTAGAATGAACATAAAATATTTCCTCTTCTTCATCTACCTCAGAACCATCAGATATCTGATCCTGCAGCCAATCGGCATTGCAGTAGGTGCACTGGTTTGCTGGCAACAAGAGAAGGTAATCCTCAGAAGCCTGGTGCACTGGCACTAACACATCATGTATTTGAGGGTGTTTTTGCAGTTCATTAAGTATCTGAAGAACCAGATTTAAGTCATGTCGCACATCTGTTGGTTTCTTTAAGTTGGATGACCTGAATCTGTCATGCTTTCCTTTTATTTCTTCCAGCACAGAGGTCAGCATGTCAGGGGTTTGTCTCTGATGGCAGCCACAGTCACTCAGTAATGAACACCAGTCATGCAACAGAGATGGTAGTTGGTATCTGTAAGGCTTCAGGTCCAGGTCAGCTTCAGATATTTCTAAATACACTGACCGTGGATACTGGAAACCTTCTTCTATTCCAACCCACACAGATCTTGTTGACTCCATCTGGTGTTTCTCTTCTGCAAGTGATACATTTGGAGAATTCAAGAAGCTGTAAATGTTCTTTAGTAACTCTATACAAGGATTACATTCTCTACTGTCATAAGATGCCCCCAGCTTATGAAGATGATCCATCACTGAACATACTGGTGGATCTCTATAAAGTCCCAACATTCTTTCAACAGCTTCTGCCATTTCTTTTGCAACTGGACTAACAGACCCAATGATAGATGAGTGTCGTGAACTAAAAACCTCTTCTGATGATGAGATAGAGGGCCCTGATTCTCCATTCCATGAGAGAGACTTGGGATATCTGGATATTTTTCTGCAAACAAGGAATGCATTTCTGATGCTGAAGATCAGATAGTTTTCATTGGGTCCATTCTGTCTATGCTCCTCTCGAGGAACGTGATGAATGCTGTTACTTTCAGCTCTGCTTCAGAATCCATTCCTCTGCTAACAAGCTCCTCAATTTTCATTGCTGATGTTCTAACATCACTTTCTGAGATCTCTTTCACACTTTTAAGACCAATTACTTGTAACCCTCTCCTGAGTCTGTCTTTTCGTGTATGCGTCTCTGCTGGGAATTTGTCCTCTTCAAGGAACAAGGCTCTCAGGAATGGATCGTCTTGGCTGAACAGATCACAAGCCCTCAGACTAGAAGACCCTCCACTGGATGAAAGGAACTGTACTGCCGAAGCAATTTGCCTCGTTTCATTCACAACAGGCATGTGTTTCTCCATCAGAAACTCCATAAACTCTACCTTTTGACTTTCTGTGTATTGCATACTCCTGTGCTGCATCAGCTGAAGGATCTGTTGACAAACATGAAGAAACGGGGTTGCAGTTGCCCCGAGCGTCAGTGCCAGGGGTCTGACTGCAGCAGATGAACACTGGATGTACCTCTCAGGGTAGGATACTGGTATTTGTTCATCAGGGGCTAGAGTATACAAGGTTTCCACTGAGCAATCACTGTTGTCTGTTGCAGTAAATAGCTTTAACTTCCTCAACACAGCTTTAGTTCCATCGTTCAACTGGCAGGAGCTCAGATATGTAACCAAAGCAGACCTTTCCTCTTTGGAGGATTCAGCATTGAACAGTTGTACAGCTGTGTTACGTTTTCTGGTATATACTGTCTCTAATGCTCTTACAACACCCACTGGTGTCGAATACTGAATAATTGTCCCAAGAACATGAGGATTGTTGAGGACAAAATCAGGGACATACATCAAATGTATAATGCCTAGTTTCTGCAGTGCTGCACCAACATTCTGTGGGAGTGACTCAGAGTGCCTGACGGACTGAGCTATGAAGACCTCATCAATGCGGAGTAGTTTTCCTCTGCCGAAGCCATCAATGTCTGGCATGATGGGAAAACCACTGAAATATTTTTCAACATCAATTCCATGGGCTGTAATATAGGTCCACACTTGCCTGAGCCAGTTGACATCAAGGGATGGAGAAGGCAGTTCAGCATTACCTTCCCGGAAATGCCTCAACAGACATTCCTGGAGCAGATTGGGGAATGCATCAGGTGACATCACAGAAAGACCTTGCCATCCTGAAAAGAAAACATTTAGCATTATAAGTCAAATGAAATCAATGTTATCATAAATAAAGAACAAGGACATTTGAACAATGTTGATGTTATCTGTACTATCAACACTATTTGTTTTGTATGTATGTGGTCTGGTATCGCTATAGCTTAGTGTGAAACAAAGGGGGATAACTGCTGGGCAATGGACAGCTTTAGTTTAGAAGTCACCTGCTTGCCATGTGGGAGTGGCTTGTTCAAAGAGCAGATGGTTTACAAATGTTGCGAATATATTTACTGTCATTTGAGGCTAGGAATTACTATATGTTTAATAATACTAATGTACAGTATTTCTGCAATATTCAGAAACATAAGTAAGTTTGTATTCGAATTTCACAATTGTTTTGTTGGTTCCTTCAAACAATCACTTTACATCAAAAGGGTTCTTAGAAATCTTGTTTTGTAAATGAACTATAAGATTATCTATCTACCTTGTCAGAAATTTATATGTATATTGAAGTTTGTAGATGAACACTTTAATGTTGTGACAGCATTATACGGAGCTCTTGATCCAGACACTTCATATTTATGGCAGTCAATCTATAGCAATAAAACACAGTTTGCTTGTATTGAATTGACTTGAATCTGCTAAGAACAAACATGCTTGCAAAAGATCTTTGATGACATGGGTCAACCAAGTCAGCGAGCCTGACCTCCCAATCCCGTCAGTCGCCTCTTACGACAAGCATGGGTTACTGAAGATCAATTCTAACCCGGATCTTCACAGGTCAACAATGCAAGGGATTGCATTTTGGACATGCAAAAGTACAAGGGTCAAACTAGAAACGCTTGAGAAGAGCCGAATAGACATGTCGAGTCCTGCTACCAACAAGGCAAATACCAAGCATGTATGTTTGATACAATATTAATGCATTTGGTAGTTTCAGCTTCTTTAGTGGTTCCTGGAAATGTTGTAAGGAATTGCATAAGGAGCATCGAAAAGTACAAAGGTCAATTCAAAGTCAAAGTTTGTTCCATCGAGAAAATAAAGACCAACTCAAATAATTCAAACTTCAGTGATGATGTTTGCGCATTGACACATGTGGTAGGGCTTATTTGTAGGCCCCAAGAGTTATATTGCCGAGTGTGACAATACCAAACAAACAGAAACAAAACCAGAGGTTCCATAGGAAACGAGACAGCATGTTACATGCAAAAATGAAAGAACAGAATGAGTGACCTTAAATCTGCCACGAGAAACATGTATCCTAGTCATTTGGGCTTGGACCGCTGACCTCATGAATTTCCATTAATGTCTTGGTCACTGTTGTTTGCTTGTGTACTAGTTAGATATTTAGAATTGTCAGAAAAAATATTGTCATTTAATCTTCACCTTATCTTTTGAAAAAAGGTAGTTGTTGGGATTAACAATTCATTCATTGTGTTGCTTAGAAGCTTTGCTACCATATATCCCTGTTACTGGTTGTATCAATGTGATAAAAGCAACGTACCAGCAGAAGCCCGTTTCCGCAGAGCTTGTTGTAATTCCTCAGGAAGGTCCAGCGAGACCAACTGTCTTTCAAGTCCTGGGAAAAGTTTGGCATCCTCTTGTGGGTAGCAAATGAACACACCTGCATCTGCTCCAAAATCCACAAAGTTACCGTCAGCCACTGGCAGAAGACACAGACTGTACAGGTGCTTGTACGCATCCGATTCCAGGAGATATTTCAGCAGCATGAGTTTCTTCTGTCTTGGTAATGCTGTAAAGCGGTTGTCCACTTTAAGTGTGTCACACACATCTTTAGGTGTTGCTTTGTGTATGTGTGAGCTGAAATGTTTTCTAAAGTTCGCATTAGTTTTGGAGGTACTGGGACAATGTACCTGTGATACAAAGTAAATATTTCAGTGATTAATGAATAAGCATCATTGGTCACATCCACAAGAAAAGCATCCTTCATCTTGACCCCTTTCTTCTGGTCAGACGGTGAACAGGAACGGGATATTGTGAAGCTGTGCCAGAATTGTTGAAACAAGAGGCTTCCAATGCACATCAATATCATCAACATCTGGAATTGTTCTGTAGACTTGTTGAATGATGGTAATTGAATTATCATATGCATAGCAGCATCTAAGAAGGCTATCTATCAAGCTACGATAAACCTCTGGTAGAACTTCACTCACAAGACACTGATTCCACTCCATAGCCTTGTCTGTGTGAGCCTGATTTTGAAGCTGATCTGCTGTTGGCCACTTGACGTGTCTCCGGTTCTGATTCAAAGCAAAGAAGCCATTGACATGAACCTGCAGACCTGTGGGACTGTTCCTCTGCAGAGGAAGTGGGAGGAAGCAGAACACATGACCTTCGCACTGTTGACCCAAAGGAACAGCCAAACCCACAAAGGGGGAGTAGGAAAGACTTGTGTCATGGGCAAAGTTCTCTGAACCTTCCAGTCATACTTCCTCCTTTGTACAAATTGATGACAATCCAGTTCTGTGATGACAATTTAGTCAATTTAGTCTCTGCAACATCCCCTGTTTCCACAGTTACGATCAACTCGCTCTGTAATGATGATGGTGGTATTTCTCCTTGTACCTGCTTCACTTTCCTCATGAAGTCTTTCTTCTCAGCTCTAACATGCTGGAGACAGTCTTGAGACAGCTGCAATGAGAACTGGATTTCTGTCTTTCCCCCCAGTCTCCTGTACAACTGTATCTTCTCTATTGACTTCAGAAATAAGAGAGTTATGGATGCCTCAGCCTTAAAAGCCTGGAACAGATCCATGACCTTCTTCTCAGTGTAAAGGTTGTCGGACAGCTTCGAGATGTTGGTTCTGAGGGGGAACCAGAAAATGGTTCCAGGATAATGACCTGTGTCTGTTGTGTCTGATGTAAAGCCAAAGGTGCCACTGAAGATGTTGAGGATCATGTTCTTGATCCCACTGGGAAGTTCACGCAGTTTCTTCATGTAGCAGACTCGGTCACCATTCTTCTCTTGTGGGTTGATGAACAACACAGTGTCCCCGCTTATGACACTTGGGAAGTCTGGAAAGGAAACATTTCAGTTTGTGAAAAGGAATAAGTTTAGTACATAATGTTCATGTTCATTTACTTGTCCAGTGCTCCAAGTGACACACATTTAATGCAAAGAAACCTTCAAAATCTGAATCTCAACATGGTGTGTATATTTCATCTTTCTGATACAGTAAATGTGATGTAACTTAGTTTATCTAAAATACAATCACCAATGTCTTACCAGTGACATGGAATACAGATTTGAATCCAAGTCCAAACCGTCCAACCTTTAGGACTTCCTCCTCCTTGACACTGTCATGTAGCATCCTGATTCCCTTCCAATCCTTCTTGGTGAACAATGCATCATTGTACACACACAGGCCCGGGGCCTGAAAGAACACTCAGTACATTACTTGTCAGCAAAGCATTCGTGTCAGTTTGCCCAATGGCAGGGCTCATTCAAAAGGAATACGTACACTAGTACAATAATTGGTTTCTGATTATACCTTTTCATGTGAAATGTGTGCATGCTATGGGAGGGTTTGCTATTAAAACAGAAACACTATTCTTGTTTATTTGTAGTTTAATTTTCCCCCAGCTAGGTTTTCAATGGCCAATAGGTGCATACACTAAGATACTTTGATAAGAGCTGCTCTACACATAAAGTCCTACACTGTCCTGGCACATAGTTAAGTAACTTCACCTGTAGTGAGGCTAGGTAATGTTTCTTCTTCAGTAGTCTTGGATCGGGGTCTATATGTCTGTCATCATACAGTATTCGTATCTCACTGGCCTCAGCATCTTCAGCATTCTGGATCAACTCCTGGTAAAAACGAAAACGACAAACTCCATAGTGTTGTTGTCATACACTGAGGGGTAAATTTGTAAATTTTGTGTCAACTCACTTTGAGTGTGTGTCCGTCATCAGGGCATTGGTTAAGCACAGACTCATCTTGAGTATCTGTCTATCACCAGGTCCAAAGGTCAAACACAGACTCACCTTGAGTATATATCCACCATCCGGGTATTGGACAAACACAGACTCACCTCGAGTATCTATTGATCGTCAGGGTATAGATGCAACACAGACTCACCTTGAGTATCTCTCTATCATCAGGGTTTAGGTACAACACACTCACCTTGAGTATCTGTCCATCATCAGGGTACTGGTCCAGCACAGACTCACCTTGAGTATCTGTCCATCATCAGGGTATTGGACAAATACAGACTCACCTCGAGTATCTGTCCATCATCAGAGTATAGGTACAACACAGACTCACCTTGAGTATCTGTCCATCATCAGAGTATAGGTACAACACAGACTCACCTCGAGTATCTGTCCATCATCAGGGTATAGGTACAACACAGACTCACCTCGAGTATCTGTCCATCATCAGGGTATTGGACAATACAGACTCACCTCGAGTATCTGTCCATCATCAGGGTATTGGACAATACAGACTCACCTCGAGTATCTGTCCATCATCAGGGTATTGGACAATACAGACTCACCTTGAGTATCTGTCCATCATCATGGTATTGGACAATACAGACTCACCTCGAGTATCTGTCCATCATCAGGGTATAGGTACAACACAGACTCACCTTGAGTATCTGTCCATCATCATGGTATTGAACAATACAGACTCACCTCGAGTATCTGTCCATCATCAGGGTATAGGTACAATACAGACTCACCTTGGGTATCTGTCCATCATCAGGGTATTGGTGCAACACAGACTCACCTTGGGTATCTGTCCATCATCAGGGTACTGGTCCAACAGACTCACCTTGAGTATCTGTCCATCATCAGGGTATTGGACAATACAGACTCACCTCGAGTATCTGTCCATCATCAGGGTATTGGTGCAACAGACTCACCTCGAGTATCTGTCCATCATCAGGGTATTGGACAACACAGACTCACCTTGAGTATCTGTCCATCATCAGGGTATAGGTACAACACAGACTCACCTTGGGTATCTGTCCATCATCAGGGTATTGGACAACACAGACTCACCTTGAGTATCTGTCCATCATCAGGGTATAGGTACAACACAGACTCACCTTGAGTATCTGTCCATCATCAGGGTATTGGACAATACAGACTCACCTCGAGTATCTGTCCATCATCAGGGTATAGGTACAACACAGACTCACCTTGAGTATCTGTCCATCATCAGGGTATAGGTACAACACAGACTCACCTTGAGTATCTGTCCATCATCAGGGTACTGTACGACAGACTCACCTTGAGTATCTGTCCATCATCAGGGTATAGGTACAACACAGACTCACCTTGAGTATCTGTCCATCATCAGGGTATTGGACAACACAGACTCACCTTGAGTATCTGTCCATCATCAGGGTATTGGACAATACAGACTCACCTTGAGTATCTGTCCATCATCAGGGTATTGGACAATACCGACTCACCTTGAGTATCTGTCCATCATCAGGGTACTGTACGACAGACTCACCTCGAGTATCTGTCCATCATCAGGGTATTGGACAATACAGACTCACCTCGAGTATCTGTCCATCATCAGGGTATTGGACAATACAGACTCACCTTGAGTATCTGTCCATCATCAGGGTATTGGACAATACAGACTCACCTCGAGTATCTGTCCATCATCAGGGTATTGGACAATACAGACTCACCTTGAGTATCTGTCCATCATCAGGGTACTGTACGACAGACTCACCTCGAGTATCTGTCCATCATCAGGGTATTGGACAATACAGACTCACCTCGAGTATCTGTCCATCATCAGGGTATTGGACAATACAGACTCACCTTGAGTATCTGTCCATCATCAGGGTATTGGACAACACAGACTCACCTTGAGTATCTGTCGATCATCAGGGTACTGGTCCAACAGACTCACCTTGAGTATCTGTCCATCATCAGGGTACTGTACGACAGACTCACCTTGAGTATCTGTCCATCATCAGGGTATTGGTGCAACACAGACTCACCTTGAGTATCTTTCAATCATCATGGTATTGAACAATACAGACTCACCTCGAGTATATGTCAATCATCAGGGTATTGGTGCAACACAGACTCACCTTGGGTATTTGTCCATCATCAGGGTATTGGTCCAGCACAGACTTGAGCTGCTTGATAAGGGTGGGTAACTCCATGCACGTATACCCATCATCATCAGACTCAGAATCTAAAAGATGAAGAATTCTGGGCTAAAGAATTACTGGTGCCGTTGTGAATCCTGCACGTGTATGTGCTTTAAGTTTATGTACACAGATGTTGAAAATTGCAAGACCTTCTGTTTTGTTTGTTGTTTACCATCACTCTCAGCAAAATTCCAACTATATGGTGGCAAATTTGATATAGGTCAATCACTTCAAGGTCAATTTTATTGACTGTTCAGAACAATCTAGCAGATGGTTTTTATTTGTATCAAACTTAAAGCCTAAAAAGAAAGTTTTTTAATCCGCTCAATGCTGCTGTGGAACCTATTCGACAAGAGAGCAGCATAATGACATCCCCAAATAAATCTTGCAATAACTATTGACCAAGTAGGATTTACGTTCCATTTGAATTATGTATGGAATGCATGAATGCTGAGTTTTCTAAATTAATCAGCTTATGTACCTTAAAACGAAAAGCCCGCGAATTAAAAAATGTAATCACAAAGTTTCTCGGCACATAGCCACAAACAATAGTTATTGTTGACTTCAGGAACTTCACGTCGAGGTGTCCTTGTCAAATATTTTCTTCATTATAAAAACATTTTTTATAACGCCTTATGCCGAAATTAATTTAGCAGGCTAAAGGTTAAGCCGGCTGCTGTAACTTCGTCTGGTAGCCTAGCGTTTAAAGCATTCGATTGTCACGCCGAAGACCCGGGTTCGATTCCCCACATGGGTACAACTGTTGAAACCCATTTTGGGTGTCCCCTCCCATCATATTGCTGGATTATTGCTAAAAGCATAAAACCAAACACACTCACTCTGCTAGTCCTGGTCAACAAGGAAAAAAACCCAAAATACCAAACCAGCTTGTGAATTATAATTTATGGCTGGGGCGGGGTGATGATGATTTACAAGGAGAGGCATGAACAATGTGAATGACCCACCTCTCTAAAATGCATGTACAAAATTAGAGAGCCCCTCCCCTAATGTCATCAACCCCCATCCCATAATTTCAAGCATATTTTTAAATTTTTAAAAATGCACAAAATTGCTGCAGGATAGTATCAAATAATTAATTCAACAGTTCTACATGAAAACTGAATCATCCCGAGGCAGTTATGTGATGCAGGGATGATTTTGTTTGTGTAAGGTGTTTGTATTTTGTAAATGAACATCCATCCAGTAATTAAAACTGGCAATATTTTTCAATACCTAGTGTTATGAGAGAGTGTTTTTTTGTAATTGGTACAATTATTGATTAAGTTTAAAGTTTTGAGTGTGGGTTGTGGGTCACATTATACCGGACAACTTCTGGAATGTTCCTGATCCCATGGAACTATTTTCTGAGATCTTCAATACTATTGGAGACGAAACCATTCCTTAGTCCTCTGCAAACCTGCACACACGCAAACCATGGTTTGATACAAACTGTAAACAAGCTAGGAAAAGTAGGAAGAAGGCGGAAAAATACTTCCGACAACATCCTACTGTGCATAACCTGAATGCCGTTAAAATGACAAATGCCAGGCAAAACGTACATTTAAACAAACTAAACGCCGGTCATGGAGGAAATATACTGAGTCAAAAACGAAACTTCACATTCTTTCTTCAGGGCACTATAAAAGAACAAGAGATTGTAAGATGGTTAAATTGTTATTATTTCATTGCTGAGATCTGTGTGATGTACTCGATACACTGACAGTGCCATAATCAGTTCCATTAGGCTACACCGCCGTTCCAAAACATGGGTATACAGAATGTAAAGTCACAAGAATAAAAATGCGAAATTTCTCAGTTCAGTATCGTGTATGGCCGCCCCGCGCATTCACCACTGCCAAACACCGTCTCCTCATCGACTGCCTGATGCTTGTGAACACGTGGTTGGGGATTCTGCGCCATTGCTCTCATCAATGCTGGAACTGTGGACCTGGGCCATGAGCCGCCATGAAAGGAACGAGTTCAGGGGTGAGCACCTGGTCGCGGTAAGCAGCAGCTGTGAGGTTTCCACAGATGACCAGAAGTCGGGAACGGTTGTTCCCACAGAAAGCACCCCACACCATGCAACTTCCGCCCCCGAATCTGTCGACTTCCTGTACACAACATTGGGCATACCGTTCACGACGTCGTCTCCAGACTCTATGCCTGCCGTCCGCGAATCTGAGGGTAAACCTGGATTCATCGCTAAAGACGACTCGATTCCAATCTCTCTGGGTTCATC